GCCAGTTCAAAACCCTTAACAAAAAATGAAACAGGATACTAATATTAGAACATGTGGCGAGAGCAAAATTGTAATATGCAGTGAGGTATAAAACATGGGGAGATTTTGGCGAGATATCTCCATTGATTTGAGGGCCTCTTTAAACAATGAAGTACTGTTATGGGGTAGAGTAGACTTTAAGGTACCCCTTGTATTATGGCAAACTTGTTTGATTTATCACCAACTTGTTGTTCCATTTATGGTTGTCTGAGTATTTGAATGTTATGGAAATCCTATTGTGACATAATTGGGTACACGATTCTGGGAAATTTTGAATCATGGGATGTTTTGTAAGCGTTTTTGTGGTGTGTGTTAAAACCGTTTAGTTGGATTTGAATGGGTTTGCAGGAAGAAAGGCTCAGATAGTCACTATGTGAAGCATTCGATTAGAAAGAGTACCTGGTTTGAAAAAAGTCATTTGAGTATGATTGATATTTTGATTTTTACGTGGCTCTGGGTGTACTAAGCAAACTCAAAAATCATGGTAAGTGAATATTTGCTTTTGGTAGTGCTTAAATGTACAACATCTTTTTCGTTTTTTATGTTATTTTATTGTTTGGTTTAAAATGTATTTTATTGAGATTATGTATTTTTTGTTTGCCTATGTTGTAGACTTTGGTGCTCCTTTGACTTTTTAAGTGAAAATACAGTCAAAAGTCATTAATCCGGACTCGTCGGGACTTCGGCGATTCCGGATTACAGATCATCAGTTTAAATCTGGTAAAATGGCATGCAGAAATTATAAAAGTAAAAATATGAAACCGTAATTTACGAAATAAAGAACAATTATGATGTAAAGGGTATCAAAATTTACAAAAAAAAGCTTAATATTTATTTGTTTACTTTATTAAACATTTCTTTCAATGTAAGTTGTATCAGTTGCTTCGTTTTTTATGTGATAATACATTCTCTTTAATTCTATAAACAGACATAATTTCTTGTTCAGTTACAAAGTTCCGCTGTTCAAGTCCTATAATTGCTGTGTCGAGAATACCAACTAATTTGTCAATAGAAATTTTTTCGTTTTCAATAACCTATGTCACTTTCTTCGCTATCGGAAGCGAATTATAATGACGAGGCATTTGATTTAAATCATATCAAAGACGGAGATGAAATACTACATTGAGTAAGCAATTATAAGCCAAATAAAATAAAAACATCTGCCCTTAAGATAAGGATAGTGCTGACAAATCAACTTCCAATTCATTGCACGCTGCAGCAGCGTTAAAGATAAACAAAGTTTAGATAAACAAACGTTTAAGTTTAGATAAACAAAGAATATGCCTTTATCCATTTTTTGTTTAATGGACTCCGAAAGATACTTTCGCTTTGTATATCCTTTACATATTAGTAAATATATATCGGAAATTCTATTTGACATAATACAAAGTTCAAGCTTATTTTTATAAAATTGCTCTAACAGTCTGCAAAAAATAATAATCCGGATCCAACTCAAAGATTAAGGAACAACGCAATCTGCAACATTAACTGAAATAGATAATTAGATAATTTTAGCTTAGCTTATCCCGTCCGTTATACATTAAACGTGCATTCGTAAATGTATTTTGCGCACGCACACACGCGAATTCGCAGCGGTAAAGGTCTTACGCGCATGCGTCAACGCGAAGCATGCGCAGAAAGTTTGTAGCTTTGAGGTCCGGATTATAGATCATTCCGGATTATGGGTGTCCGAATTAACGACTTTTGACTGTATATCGATGTGTACATGGACAAAGTAAAGGGAGTGCGCAATGCAACTTTGTGCAGTTCTGGGATTTTTAAGTGAAAATAGGTCGACGTGTACATGGATAAAGTTAAAAGAGGTTAAAGAAGTTAAAAGAGGGGGGTTAAGTGAAAATAAGCTGATGTGTACATGGATACCGAGTTTGTGCAATTGTTTGTTTTGTTATTTTGGCTTTGTGTAGCGGCGATTTTTGGCCCAAAAATCGCCACTTCGCAAGCCAAAATAACGAGTCAAAGAATTGCACAAAATCGATATCCATGTACCGCCAAAAATCGCCAAGGGGTACCCTAAACTATACTTTTACCCTGTTATGATTTTACCAAAAACATTTTGAATATCTTTTTAAAACAAGCAGGTTTTAAAAAAGAGGATTAATAGTATACACCAAAAAAAAGGGAGGATGTTAGCTAAAATTCACTAACTGAAAAAGTACTAACATTTGTAGATAAATGAAAAACCAGAAGTGTCCACAAACAAATGTGAGCCACTATATGTGCTGACATTCTTTATGCTGTTTGTACAAGGAAGCGATGTGCAGCAAGATGCAATTGGTGAGAAATAAGCCACAACAGACATTTCAAAATATAATTATGCTCAAAACTAGTTACAATTTTTTTTTAATTCCACACCTTTTTTATGTTGCATCCATTGTTTTAATAAAACTACTCATTTACAGTTGACTTTAATGTACCCCTTGTATTACAGCAAAGTTGCTATTTCATTTATTGCCAAGTTGTTGTTTCATTTACTGGCAAGTTGTTGCTTCATTTGTGGTAGCCTGAGTAGTTGAATGTTATGGAAATAATATTATGACGTAATCATTGCGATAAATTCATAAGGCCTTGTGGTTGTGTGTGTGTTGATTAGGAAGTATATTGCTTGTTTCGTTGGTTAGACAGTAAAATGGCCGAATGCAGTAAGATTAATTTGAAGTTTCTGTACGATTTGGAAAGGAAGGGGAAAAGAGCATTGTAAATGAAGGTTTACTTAGTTGCCATTATAAGGTGTCCTGTTTGTAGGAAGGAAATGCGTATGGTTGAACGTCATTACAAAGGATATTTTTTACCCTTATTTTGTGAATTTATGTGGTGAAGCCTGTATACAGATTCTAGTTCAGATAACTTTAGGAAGTTTTTGGATGCTGTTAAGGAATTTTCTTTGACTGAAGAGGTGTGAATTCGTAAATAAGGTAAGTGGATATTTCTTTTGTGTAGTGCAAAGATGAACTGCCTTTTTCATGTTATTTCAGTGTTTTATTTAAAATGTAGTTTATTGAAATTATATATTTTTTTGTTGGCTGCTCTTTTGACTTTTGAAGTGCATATAGTTTGATGTGTACATGGACAAACTCAAGGGAGTGCACAAAGCTTAGTTTGTGCAATTCTCTAATTAAGTGAAGGCTTAATCCTAGTATACGGTGCACATGAGAGTTGGTGAAATTCGGGTTTAAGAGACTAATAAGCGCGCCAACTGTGGTAACCAAGCCGATTTTGATGCTCTGGAGGAGAGTGCATTTGGGAGCATTTTCGCGCATGCTCATTAAATATTTTAAATTGATAAGTTTTGATTGGTGCAGATGGAAGAGAAGAATTATTTCAAACCATTGTTTGAAGTTCCGTTAATCTTCGGTCTTTGGCTGAACTGAACGAGAAAGGATAACGTATGTTCAGGTAAAGTTTATTTATCTTTTATTTTTTGTTATTTTTTAAAATAACAGTAGTGGTTTCCACCGAGTTTCTGATTGGTTAATATTTTTAATTAATCAGTTATTGGTTTTTGATCAGATTACTGAATATGATTTTAGTTTGATAACGTCTTTTATTCTACAGTTCGAGTTGCTAACGTATTTTGTTCTACAGTTCTATTTGCTAACGTATTTTGTTCTACAGTCGGATAACGTTACTTTTCGATTATGATGTGCAGTGCTATGAATTGCGAATATTTAAACACTGAAATTTTTTTGGAAGTTAGAACTGGAAGGAAAGCTTGCTGTAATTCAATGGGCAGTAGATGTCGGATTGCACTGCCAAATTTTAAAAATTGTGCCATGGCCGCACCGTATACTAGGATTTGGAAGGAACGTGAAGTGCTGTTAAGCGTGGGATGAAGGGGACGAAAAAGGTAAGCGAAGAGTTTGACTTTTATTTGGTGGAATATATGTGGCGGCATCTGAAAAATAATAAATCATCATCCGAAAAAATGAAAGACTTTATATTTGCAATAAAAGCAATATATCCGCCACCCGAGTTTGAGGGATATAGCATTTGAGTTATGATATAGACCCTAAAACATATGTGACACTGAGCCATGGTATTTAATTTATTATATTTGATATGTGAATGTTTTGTATTTGTTTGCGATGCATGTTGAAAATCATTTTTTTTACTTTTTTGCCAACTCAAACTTGTGGTGACGCTTTACTTTGAGGTTGCCAAAAATTTGGCGACAAACGTAAACGCATCATTTTGGTGTTGGCGACAATTTTAAAAATCGCGCCAAGGCCGCACCGTATACTAGGATTTTACCTAAGTGAAAATAGGTTGATGTGTACATTGTGCAGTTCTCTGTCTTTTTATTTTGGCTTTGTGTAGTGGCAATTTTAGCCTAGTTTGTGCAATTCTCTCTTTTTTAAAGTGAAAATCGGTCGATCTGTACATGGTAAAGTCAAGGAAGTGTGCAATGCCATTTTTGTACAATTGTGGGATGTTTTTTTAAGTGAAAATTGGTCGATGTGTACATGTATACCGAGTTTGTGCAATTCTTTACCTTGTTAATTTTTGGCGCAAAAATTGCCGCTACGCAAGCCGAAATAACAAGTTAAAGAATTGCACAAACTCGCTATCTTACGACTTATTGAACTTAGTTTTATTTTGAATTCATCACTTTTAAGATAAGTCATAAATGCTGGCCAAAAATCGCTGGTACGCAAGCCAAAATAACAATTCAAAGAATTGCACAAACTCGGTATCCATGTATCGCCAAGGGGTACCTTTAAATATACTTTTACCGACTACTCTTTTAAATATAACATATACATAAATTTAATAGACTTTTGACTTCGCTACTTTGCTGTATCAACATATACAATACGAGATCGGACTTGAAATATGAAATGGAGCGCGTCCAAAACATAAAAACTACGCTAAATTTTGAAAATATACTCATAAAATCAAAAAATACCATAATAAGTAAATGGATATTATACAGAATACCCCACCCTAATAAATATTTGTGTATGAAAGAACCACTGGAAGTCGGTGATGTACAAGGAGATTTGCTGTCGGATTTCTTTTCTTGACCAGTTGAAAGTTGCCTCAAAAAGCCACCAACTTTTTCTCGAAAAGTTGGCATCATTGCACCAAATAAATATAACACAAACACAAGAAAATAATACAACACCAAACCACAACACCTAAACAAATTCTCCTTTCCGAAAAGAAAACAAATAAACTCTGAAAGCCGCACGTTGCCATTCAACAAATCCAATAATTGGTATTTCCGTGAAAATTTTAAATTTATATAATAACATTCATAACCCTCCAAAAATTGTAATATGTGATATATACATACATATATGTATACTTTTAAAATTACTCTACTGTAATAAGAAAATATAACCGCTAAAAATATTTTATAATTTAGAGACGCAAATTAATGTTCTATTAGACGATCGGATTTTCATCAGTCTTTGTAAATACTGAAATAGAAAAAAATCATGTCATACTTTCTGTTATTTATTTTTAAATGCTGAAATATTTTGCCTTAATAATTTAGATACAACTATGATTTCTATGAAATAACATTTTTCAGAAGTTTTAATAAGCACACTGCATTTTCAATCTAAGCGCGCAGATCACCATTTTTGCTTATTGTGTTCTGTGAATCTGGTCGTATCTTTTGTAAATCGGTGTTACCAGGTTGAAAAGTAGAAAGTTATAATATTGATTCTAGCAGAAGACTTTTCGTATTTACAGGTAAGCTCTCATGTGCTTTGTAAATAATGGAAAAGTATGCATTTTTTTTTTTACATTTATAACTATGAAACCCATGCCCAAATATCAAAATGGTGGTGCGATAACATGTACTGAACATGCAATCAATAAATTCTGTTAAATGCAGTAATTTTTATGTATGTTTTGAAATTTTAATTTTTATGAATCAAGACATTAATAAAAATGTTTTATAAGAAAGTTGTAAGTATAATCTTCACTGTATATTGGGGCGATTTTGCACTGTTTTCATAATGCAGTTCGTACCTGTGATGAAAAAATCTGCTTTATTAGTCAGTCATAATATTGTAAGAGAAATGTTTATTTTTGTAACTGCTACATTAATGATGTCTTGAAAATTATTATTATAAGTAAAATTTATGATTATCTTAAGTTCTGTAATATTCCAAGTTTGCTGACTTTTTAAGATTAAAGATGCTTTGTTTTTTTTTATTTCGTGTGAGATATGTACCTACTAAGTTGCCCACTGGTTGCTTTGTTTTTTTAATTTCGTGTGAGATATGTGCCTACTAAGTTGCCCACTGGTTTAACATTTATTTGTAGAATAAGTCTGGTCTATAATTCCCTCACGTGCATCATTCATACAGATCAGTTTCCCGAATAAATCTCTTTATAAAGGCATCCTTTCTATTAGACACTTCAGCTATCTTTCGCCTTAACCAATAATCGGACCATTTTCATTTCGTTTCCAGTAAAAATTTTAGTACAGTAACAAAAATTTAAACAAATTCAAGAATTTGTGTTATTTTGAAGATCAGTGTGCTTGACTTAACATATTCTGTAAGTTATGTGAAAGACAAATTTCAACTTTTGCATTAAAATGCTGTTTACAAGATGTAATATAGTGTTTTCCTCCCATCCATTGTGTTTAATAAAGTATTCTTTTTGTGTGTGTGAAAGAAGTTTTTAAAAGTTTATTAAGTATCCGTTTATGTGTCTTATTTTTGTTCTAAATATGTGGATATTTGTACATACATATATAAATCGTAGATAATCAAAATTTTTAGATTTTCCATGATAACAAAATATATTTATCTTTTTATTTGTAATAATCACATAGAAATGATCTAGATATTTGAAGACTTTTGAACACAGAACAACAGAAAATAATACTGTTCAACGAATCAAGTAATGTGTAAATAAAAGGGGGTTTCATTCTGGCCTCATCATATTTATCTATATTTTTGCTTCTTAAAATGTAAGGACAGTCTTATTTTTAAGTAAATATGACACCTGGCTCAACATCAAAATTCAATATTCCGTACATCTTTATTAATCTGTGTTTATTCAATCCAATTACTGGACCAATTAGAAAGAAAGTCTGAAGTTCTGTTGTAGTGCTTAAAAAGTGTGTTAATTTACTTAAATGAGCTTACTTCATTTCTTGTTGACATATATCATATCATATCTGGGTAAAATCCTAATATATGGTACGGCATTGGCACGATTTTCAAAATTGTCACAAACACCAAAATAACCCATTTACTGCTCATGATAAATGTCATATTTACTACTTGTAATAATGTCGCCAAATCCCGTGTGTACCATATACTAGCTGAATATGGTAAAAGTATATTTTAGGATACCCCTTGGTGATTTTTGGCGGCACATGGATACCGAGTTTGTGCAATTCTTTGACTTGTTATTTTGTCTTGCTTAGTGGTGATTTTTGGGGCAAAAATGGCCACTACACAAAGCCAAAATAACAAGACAAAGAATTGCACAAACTTGGTATCCATGTCCACATCGACCTATTCTCACTTAAAAAAGCATCCTGGAATTGCATAAAAATATAATTGTGTGCTTTCTTGATGTCATCCGTGTACATATTGACCTATTTTCACTTTAAAAAAATCAGAGAATTTCACAATTGCGCATTCCCTTGACTTTGTCCATGTACACATTGATCTATATTCACTTAAAAAGTCAAAGGAGCAGCCAACAAAAAATATATATAATCTTAATAAACTACATTTTAAATCAAACAATGAAATAACGTAAAAGAGGAAATTCATTTTAGCACTACACGAAGGAAATATCCACTTACCTTAGTTACGCATCTTCAGTCAAACACAGTTCCTTAACAGCATTCAAACACTTTCTAAAATTATCTGAACTAGAATCTGTGTACTGGCATCACCACATAAATTCAAAAAATAAGAGTAAAAAATATCCTTTGTAATGACTTTTGACCAGACGCATTTCCTTCCTAAAAACAGGACATCTTATAATGGTGACTAAGTGAACCTTCATTCACACACCAGTCAAGTAATGCTCTTTTCCCCTTCCTTTCCAAATCCTACAGAAACTTCAAATTAATCTTTCCATATTCAGCCAATTTACCATGTAAACTACAAAATAAATAAACGTGGTAATCCATCACACACAAGCTCTTACCCAAAATCCGACACACACTCTCCAAATTTTTTCCCATGATTCAAATTCACCGCAACCAATTACATTATAATAGGGTTTCCATAGCATTCGTGTGTGTGTGTGATTATGGCAAAGCCTCGAGGGCTATCTGCCTAAGAGGAGGGATGCCTTCGTGGAGGACTTTCTAAGGGAAACTGGCTCGTATACACGTTACACATGGGGAAACCACGAAAACGCCCATGCAGCCAGCCCGTTCGCGGGATTCGAACCTCGGACCGAACTACCAGTGTTCAGCGACTTTTACCGCTCGGCCGCTGGTGGGCCTCTCCATAGCATTCAACTACTCAGGTTGTCATAAATGAGACAACAACCTGGCGATAAATGAAACAACAATTTCTCGATAATACAAGGGGTACCCTAAAGTCAACTCTAACCATGAATATCAGTTTCATAAAATAGGTCATTGGGCAACTGTCTTGCAACACCTTTCCAGTTTGATATCTGTACTGGAATAATAAAAGTCATTCACTGGGTTGCAGCATCTGCTTCCTAAACTTCTACTTACAGCCAGTTTTTTTTTTTTTTTTTTTTTTTTATTCTGCTGTTTATTTTTGGATCTAAGGTAAAATCCAAGTAAATTCGATATTTATAATAGTTTAGTAAATGTCTCTTAAAATAAATATTTGAAAAGAAATTATATAGGTGTCTAGTGATGATTTAAAGGTGTTGAAGTTAAACATATGTTCTGCTAATACATAAACAACAGGCAGTAAGAATTTATCAAATTAAAATTTGAGCTTTTTTATTTCCAAAATTAACTCCTAAAACCACTGTCGTCAAAAACCTTGATTAGATCACAAAATACTACCATTGTGCGCTTAATAGGCTTCAAGTTTTGGGCATCTCTTCAGTGGTGGCTCATAGTGAAAATTAGTGGGGGTGCTGTTCCAAAAAAATTTAACCTCTGTTTTAAAATTGTGTAAAAGGAAACAAACATGTATAAAAAGAAAATTTATTTTGAAACTTCATGAAATCTTACAAGAAAAAAATTTAACATTTCTTAATTACTTTAACCTAAATTGTTACAGTTCAATCTTTAAATGTATTCATTTAAAAATGAAATCCATTCTTCTTGTTTTAATTTACGCGAAAAGATCAATAATTTTCTCCTTGATCTCTGGATGACAACTGAGGAAATATTTGTTATTTGAAAGCAATGCAAGTGCATTTAGTCTTTCAGAATTCCTAGTGCTTTTAGAAAAGTTTTCATTCTTTTCAATGTTGAAAAAGCAGCGTTCTGCCTCTGATGTAGTCATGGAAACTCTCCAGAGAATTTTTATCAGTTTTGTAATTTCACTAAGAACATCATCTAGATTATTTTCGAAGATAAATTTCTGTAGCTCAATTAATTTGCAGTATTCATGGATATCAGACCTACAATAGAATACTTTTAGTTCAGTTTCAAGCTTTTCTTTGTCAATCATTGGATATGTGTCAGTGGTCAGTATTATTCCTTCTGCCGGATGGATGTTCATTCCTAAAACTAGTGAAGAATTTCTTGTTAAAAAATTTAGCAGCTGCTAAATGTTTAGTGGAAGAATATCTGTGCATTATATCAATACATAGTATAAAGTCACATATTTCCTTAGCTTCTGCCATCAGTGAAAATTTCTCCCAGTGCTTTGAGCTTCTTAGTTCTAAAATAGCAGTTTTGAAGTTTGTTATAAGTTCATTAACTTTAACCTTTTAACTGTCATGCCCGAGAATGTCACGCCCGAGTATTACTCGGGGTAATTTTTTTTGTGAGTGCATCGTATTGTTATACCCGAATATATATCAAGAGACGTTTATTTCGGCTTCATCTCTTTGTCAAACCCGACTGTTTCTCGGGAAAAGTTAATGTGTGCTCAATTCAATAGATGGCAGCACTCTACGGAAGATTTCAAAGGTTAGAGGTTAGACGTTATTTGGTTCAATTTGACAATTTGTGCACCCAAATCATCAAAATAACTTAACAGTTAAAGGGTTAAACACACTAATTTCTCTGGATTGCATTTAGTGATACATTATTTGTACATGAGGCATAATCTGATAAAAAAGCTCTAACTAAAACTTGAAATTATCATCATTTAGATATTTTAAAATGCCTTTTGCTTTTGCAATAGTTTGATCTGCATTTGATGTTGATTGAATTTCAGTAAGACAATTTTTTAAAGGTTGCAAATTTTCAAATTTTCATGAACTCTTTCTATGGTCCGTATGATCAAGTTTCCACCTTTATGTGCAAGGAATACCACACGCGCGGAGTGAAAAGAAATCATGTTTCCAACAGCATGCCAGAATTTCGGCACTGCAAGAGCGACAGTGCTGTTCTCTCTCCCTGGCTCGCGTGCTGCTTTCTGTGTGCACATGCGCAGAACAGACAAACACCATGTCACTGGAACTGTGAAGCACGCAGTTCCGAACAAAGACTTTCGTACCTTTTTAACAAACTGGGGGGACGGCTACTGACATTAAGCTTAAGGATTATGTATTGTAAAAGTATAAAGAAAGAATTAAAGACTATATTAAATATTAAAAATAATAAAAGTGGAAATAAGGGGTGCTGCAGTATCACAGTGCTAATTACGAGTCGCCACTGCATCTCTTAAACTTTCAGTGAAATAGATTTGATCAATAGTACCATGTCCTCTGTGGAACCAATTTGTGCTTCCTAGAAAGCAAATTATAAATCGTGAATCATTAGATGATAAGTAATTCTTCTCGAGATGAATTTTTTTAAAAAAAGGATCTTGTGGACAAAAAAAAAGTAAAACAAAATATTGTAGAAATAGTGCCACATTTAAATATTTAAAACTATTCTTTAACTATGTAATTTTAAAAAAAATTCATTTATAAAAAATTTTAAATTGTAATAATATATTTATTATTTATGTTAGGGAGCTAAAAATGCAATGAAATTTTTCACCAATCAATAAATAAGTACTCTACCACATTTTTTACTAAATTCTTTTGATGGAGAATAATTTTATTCCTGAAATAATAAAACATTTACTTTCAAATAAGTTAAACTAGTATTAGTAAACTATCTTGATCAGCAGTATCACAGGTGAATTGTTATTCATTTCTTCCTTTTTTTTTTTTTTTTTTTTTTTTTTCCTGGAAGAAGTCCAACCATAGTGCAAATATTGTATCAGTTCTAGATGCTTAAGTCAGTTGTAATTTGTAATAAAATTTGGTAGACTGACACTGGTACATATCAAAAGCATCTCTGTCAATTTTTTGACTTCCTTGGACAGTGTTAACATTTTATAACTCCTTTGCATTTCTACTGCACTACTTCATCATTCACAGTGACACATGATGTGTGAAATTTGTCAGATACCTCACAGATGGAATGCCCAAACCAGTTGGCAGAATAATTAGGTTCTTTTTCACCGTAGGCTCAAATGTGCTTTAACCCACAGCCTTGTTTTTTCATTAAGTAATACAGTCAAAAGTCGTTAATTCGGACACCCATAATCCGGAATGATCTATAATCCGGACCTCAAAGCTACAAACTTTCTGCACATGCGTCGCGTTCACGCATGCGCATAGGCGTTTACGAGAGCACATAAGACCCTTACAGCTGCGAATATGTTTGTGCGCATGCGCGTTTAATGTGTAACGGAGTTGGTTGATCTTTACATTATGGTAACTTGGCGTTTTTTTGGCGAAAATTTGGCGACCAACTCTTCTGCAGCAACCCTCTATTTTTTTTTCCCGCCGCCATTTTGTCTTCACGAAGTAAAGACATGTTTCTTTTCTTTTTATCTACTGAACACTTCTTCCAACAATCTACTAGCCGAATTACACTTATGCTAGAAATTTTATCTAACAAAACTGCTTAATCATGACAAATATTCACTGCAAAATTGGGAAAAAGTGCACAATACCATACTCCTTACGCGTTTTTTCAAAATAACACATACACATAAACCATGTACACGCCGACTTATTTTACTTATAAAAACATCCCAGAATTGCACAAAAATGGCATTGCGCACACTCTTCACTATATCCATGTACACTGCTTTTTTTCTCATAAATTAGAAAAATTTCACGAAAATACATAACAATTTTCTCAATCTTTAAACCCGGTAAAAAAGAACATATATGAAATTACCTGATCGCGAAAAAATATTTCCCTTTCCAAATATGAACATTTCCACATATAAAATAAATAAAATATCCAAAAACTTTTACCTCTAAATCATCTATTACATTATACACGTCACCAACGAATTCATACCGCAAGCATTACAAATACTTAGTATCAAATATTTAAATTATTTCCATGCACGTTTACTTCAACTTAAACGTGTACCAAATTCCTACAAACATAAAATTCACAAAATAAACTATCATTTAATTAAAATATCACTAAACCATGTACACGTCGACTTATATTTTACTTAAAAAACACATCCCAGAATTGCACAAAAATGGCATTGCACACCCTTGCACACCTTTTCACTATATCCATGTACACTGCTTTTTTCTCATAAATTAGAAATACATGACAATTTTCTCAATCTTTAAACCCGGTAAAAAGAACATATATGAAATTACCTGATCGCGAAAAAGTAATGAACATTTCCACATATAAAATAAATAAAATATCCAAAAACTTTTACCTCTAAATCATCTATTACATTATGCACGTCACCAACGAATTCATACCGCAACCATTACAAATACTTATTGTCAGATATTTAAATTATTTCCATGCACGTTTACTTCAACTAAAACGTATACCAAATTCCTACAAACATAAAATTCACAAAATAACTATCATTTAATTAAAATATAATTAAATTCAAAAACACTACTTAAATATAAATGAGCACATACATCAATTAATACATACATAAATACCCATTTCGAATTCACTTTAGTTACGGCCATGGGATCCAAAAATTCACGAACATTGTTTCACACAACACAGAATAAAGCCAAATACAAAATTTCCAGATTTTTTCCCGATTTCCCCCCTTTTCCGATTAAAGAACCGTAATTCGTCCATTAATATCACATGACATATCCCATGATCTCTCATTTCTCTCACACAAAATAATGCGTAATCGGAACTGAGTACTGCTCACATTATTACCAAAGGGCCAGGTAGTTTATCGAAAGACCTTTGTCCTTTGTCCAAAAACCTTTATCGCCTCCAAAATGTCGCCAAACTACCAGTTACCATATTGTAAAGATCAACCACGGAGTTATACGCTAAGCTAAAGTTATCTAATTCAGTTAAAGTTGCAGATTGCGTTGTTCCTTAATCTTCGAATTGGATACGGCTTATTATTTTTTATATTTAGAGCAATTTTATAAAAGTAAGCTTGAACTTTCGATTATGTCAAATAGAATTTCCGATATATATTTACTACAAAGCGAAAGTATGTTTTGAAATCCGAAATCTGTTTATCAATTTCACGCTGCTCTGCGGCAGAGGGTGGGGGGCAGAAACGTCATTATTAGATTATGATAGATTAGAAAGATTATGTCAAATAGAATTTCCGATATATATTTACTAATATGTAATTTGTATCTACAAAGCGAAAGTATGTTTTGAAATCCGAAATCTGTTTATCAATTTCACTCTGCGGATTGGAAGTTGATCTGTCAGCACTATCCTTATTTTCAGAGCAGATGTTTTTATTTTATTTGGTTTATTATTCTGTACTAAGTGTAGTATTTCATCTCGATATACTCCGTCTTTGATATGATTTAAATCAAGTTCCTCGTCATTATAATTCGCTTCGGATAGTGAAGAAAGTGACCCAGAAAAGTCATTGAAAACGAGAAACATTTCGATTGACAAATTAGTCGGTAATTCTCCAACACAGCAATTCCATAGGACTTGAACAGCGGAACTTTGTAACTGAAACAAGAAATTATATCTGTTTAATAGGAATTAAAGAAGAAAGTATTATCACAATGAAAACGAAAGCAACTTAAACAACATACATTGAAGGAAATGTTTAATAAAGGTAAACAAATAAATATTAAGCTTTTTCTTTTGTAAATTTTGATACCCTTTAGATCATAAATATGTTCTTTATTTCATAAATTACCGATTTCATATTTTTAATTTTGTAATTTCTTACATGCCATCTTACCAGATTTTAACTGATGATCTATAATCCGGAAAAATCGATAATCCGGAATCGCCGAAGTCCCGACGAGTCCGGATTAACGACTTTTGACTGTACAATGTATGTGATGAATCTGGCACAAACCTTTTCATGAATTTGCATCAAAGGTGTGGCACATTTTCATCATATGTCTGTTCCAGTAGCTGAAGTAGTATGCATTTCTAAATGTTCAGATATTTTTATATGCTCATAACATGCATTAGTATAGGTAATCCTTCTTTCCTTTCGAGAATATGCAGTTATAGCATGCACTAATAATGTTTATTTATATATTTTTTTCTGTTTAAGCATAATATTGTATTTTTCAGATCCTGAAAGAAAAACTGGATATGGAGTGGAATGGTGTTTATACATGATGGAATCGGAATAATTGATGTGCTGATTTAGTTTCTAATTAAACTTTTTCATATACATTCAAAAGTATGCAGAGAGAGAGATTGTATCCTTGCCAAGAATGTGGCAAAAGTTTCCATCAGATGAATCAGCTAAAGCAACACTTGATTATACATATGCCAGAAGAACAGCGTCCATTTAGTTGTTATATATGTGCTAGAAGATTCAATAGACTTCATCACTTGAAATTACATTTAATGGTTCACTTAGGCCAAAGTCCCCATACCTGTGATATATGTGGACGTACCTGTAATCAGCTAAGTGATTTGAAAAAGCATCAGATGATACATACTGGCGAAAGGCCGCACTCTTGTCATATCTGTGGTAAAGGCTTCATACAAGTAGGGGGTATGCGTCGTCATATACAGAAGCATGAAGAAGAAGCTGAACTATCATTGAACTGTAAAGTTTGTGGGAAAACTTTTTCGAAAATTGGTTACTTGCGAAAACATGTACTTTGCCATACTAGTGAAAAACCATATTCATGTGATGTGTGTGGGAAATGTTTTGCTCATGAAACTGGATTAAAGCAGCACCTCATTATACATAATGGTGAAGAGCCACATTCTTGTGAATACTGTGGAAAAACATTCAAGAGACTGGGAAATCTTGAGAAACATGTCGTAACTCATTCAGGTTGCCTTCCATATAACTGTGATATATGTGGAAAGCAGTTCCTACAGTTAGGAAGTTATAAAAGACACGCACTGAGACATTCTAGTGTTATTTCAGATCATTTTGAATCTGTTGAGCCATCTACCACAGATGATGAGGTATCAGTTTCAGAAAGTCATGAAGACTTTGTTTCTAATGTAAATAATAATTCATGGGTAGTAAATGGAGATCAGATTTTAATTAAAACAGACAGCAGTGGTTCTTCAGAAGACGCTGCTTCTAACCTGGACAACAGTTCATGGGTTGTGAACGGTGATCAGATTTTGATTAAAGCTGATGGTAATGGGCCTTCTGAAGATGATGCAGATGGCAAAAGTGAAGAAACTTTTATGATTGTTATCAATGACTCTAACATAGATGACATTACTGATGATATCATTAAAGTAATTGAATAAGCCTGCATTAATTTAAATAATATATTTTATAGATTGAAAATGATGATGATACCTTGTACGAAATGCAAATTTCTGTATAAAAGTTTTTTTTTTTTGGAAATTAGCTATATTTGAATTTCTTTAAATAAAGCCTTTTACATTTATTTTATTCAGAAAATAATTAAATTACCTTATACTTTTGTTGGGTCATTTCAGTTATTATAGTTATGCATATTAATAGTTGCATTTGACTTACAAATTTTCATTTCCCTAGTCACAAAAAATTATGGGCAGAATTTTAGTATGGATTGATTAAAAAAGATTATAAAAAATTTTTCTTGAAAATAGTTAAACGCTGTGTAAAGAATTATTGAGAATGGGTGTTCATCCTTTTCTGTTCATAACTGGCTGAAACATGAAAATATGTATTTCCATAAATTAAAATTAATTTAAATTCTGATAACTTTGGATTTAATCAAAAAATTTTACTTCATGGTATTCAGAATTTATGTTTAAAATCTTGTTAATTTAAGACATAATAAAAATTCAAGCACCTTATGCACATGAAAGCTCTTTGCATTTTTCTTCAGCACCTGCACTAAGACTTTTTATATATAAAATTAATGTAAACATTTATTTTAGCAAATAAAGTTGAAAATTTGAATCATGAATGTTTGTAATGAAATCAGCAATATGAGTTCTAAGAAATTTATATAAGAAACTATCATACATGGTAATGAAAATAAAGTTTGGTGAATGGCTGTGTTCATAAACAAATATTCTTACCTAAATTAGGAAAAAAAAAAAAGTTTTATATTCTTTGAAATAATGTCATCATTTTTAGAAAACTGTGGGCTAAGTCCTCTTTTGGTATTATATGAAGAACCTTTTGATATAGCTTTGAATGTCTGGATATCCAAAGAGCTTGTTTCAGATGTGGGAACAAAAAAAAAGTCTGCTGGAGCAAGATGAAATGAATACAGTGGATTATTGAGGACAAACTTTTAAAACAAGGAAGAAATGTAACTGAGCATTACCATGGACAAGTAATCAGTAGCCAGCCATAAGTATATTTGATGTTCACAAAAGATGCCTTTGCAGTAAACTTGCCAGAGCATCCTTGTATGTGTTGTTGCTTTTTGAGGCTAACACCATCTTCACTTTTTCAATGTTTTTGCCACTACAGAAAGTTGTATACCTATCACTTTGAGTAGCACTGAAAGCATTTGAACCATTCATAAACACACTTTAATGATACAGCTTAACAACACTTTAATGATATAGCTTCATTTCCATGTACTTGTTTCAGTAGATTGTTTTCCTTTTGCAGATTTCCCCAGGTTAAAACATAACTTGTTCCAGGGTCCGTTTTGCAGCCACTGCTACACTTTTGCAGATTGGATTGTCACCAACAGAGCAATCTAATGTGTCCTACTCCATGCCTATTCCGAGATCATGTTCAAAGATCTTTTGCATTCTCTTTTCTGCACTACATCCATATGTGCACATCCTACGACATCATTTACTAAACTTTACTTTAATACATTGTATGTGAGCCATGCTTTTCTCTTATCCAGTTTACCAATACCACCCACTGCAGTCTCGTTCTGTGGTATGATTCACAGTTTTTAAATTTAAATTAACACCCTTGAATCTACAAATTCAAAAGTACAGTGTTTAGTGATCCATACTATGAATAGTGCCTACCACAGGCTATAGAAGCCAATTATTTAATTGCATATTGGAGATACTCGCAAGTGTATCTGATTTGCTTATTTTTCATTTTAAATGACAATGAATGGTGTTATTTGAAAGATTTCCCGCATTTGACCAAAATACATAAAATTATTGCTCTTCTGGATTATAATTCGAATTTTTTCGGAGGGCGGTAATATTTTTTAATTTCAGTTCCTTTTATTCATCTCAAGTTATTGTAAGAGCATATTTTCTTCAAAGAAGCTGTTTCAATAGGGAAATTCTTTCTGTGTTAAAAGTTGATACCTTTTTTTAATTCACATGTTTCTGTGTGATTATTAACCTGTGTTCGTATATCAGAGTTCAACTAGAATCATAGAAATGTCCAAATTCATTCAAAACACATAATTTTATTGTTATCACTTGTTTTCTTTCTTTTATTTTTCTGTCTTATAGATATTATATGTACAAATGAGGCGGGTCTGATTTTCAGAATTCAGGACAACACTAACAAGATCAAACGTGTCTTTTGAGTTCAACAATCATCAAAAGAAAGCTTCAGAATGATGAAGTTTCCAGCTGAACAATGGCTAATCTATCCTGAAACAAATGGTGGTATTTACTATGGCTCTTGTCATTTATTATCCAAAGTGGATGCATCCTTTTCTGCAGATAAAGGATTCAGTGATTGGAAAAACCTGAAACAATGCGAAGAACAGCACGTATGGTACAAATAGAAAAATTCTGTGCATGCTCTCAAATGTTTTCAATAAGAATTTAAACTACGTACTAAATGCAGAGATTTCTCAAGAAAAATATTGAATGGAAATTTTAGAATACCACATCATCATAAAAAAAGTTTAGAGGTTCTGATGAAGTTTTTGGATCATGTAACAGTGAGATTTTTTTAATGATAATGGAACAATGGAATGAATTTGATCTAGTCTTGAAAGAGTGTCTAAAGAATTATGGGAGACCATGTAGCAGTAAAACAAATTATCTTTTGAATGTACGAAGTACAGAGGAATTATATCTGCCAATGTAAAAACAACTGAATATTTCTCCATAATTATGGATTCAACACTTAGCATTTCACGTGTAGATCATTTATCAACTGTCATGAGATGTCCAAGAGTGTGAAATACCAACAGAAGTATTCCTAACATTTGTATCAAATGCTGGGCATAAATCCCAGGAACTGTACACTGCTATAATTAACACCTTCTTATTTCTTGATATTAATGTAATGTTGTGTAGTCAATTTAATTCATTAAAATCTTTTTCCAAATTCAGCTATACACTTAACCACTTGTGCTAAAAAGACGTGCCACACACGTCGAGATGCTTTTGTCTGAAACCCCGAGCGACATGAACACCGCGTCGATAGGCATTTATTGCAAAAATAAAAATAACGTGGTGCACATGTCGCCTAAAAACGAGATTGTTTATTTCTCTAGTTACAGCTCTGGATTGTAGATGCGGAGCGGCGTAAATGAGACACTTTACCACTTGTTATATTATAGCGCACTGCACTGCAACCGGGAGGTTTAGTCGTAGCGCAAATGATTAAATTTACTAAGTAACCTTTGAATTAGGAATCTTAATAATTTATTTGTTTTCTTTAGTTTGAAAAGTCAGATATTTGGCTTTTAGTTTTAGCTTAATTCAATTAAGTGACATGCATCTTAAGTAATTTTTGCAATTTTAAAATAAAAATTATTGATTTATCTGTTTGAAATTTATACACAGTATACAGTAAATTTTTGCCTTTGTGTTGAACTTATTATATTTGTTAGAATAAGTGAATTAGTTGAGAAATTATTTGCAAATAAGATATATTTTCATTAGAAATGGCGAGGATTTTTCTGGCTTTCAAAAGCTACTTTTTAAATCTGTTTTTAAGCAAAATCACTCATTAAGTGGTTTAATCTGGCTCTCACATCCAGTTTCTGAAGGACTGGAAAGCGTGCAAAAAAGGGTTACTTTTTTTTTTTTTTTTTTTTTTTTTTGCTTGGATGGCATCAAGGAGAAAAGAGGTTGAATTGAAATAACGGAAAAGTAGAAATTTTTCTATTGATTTGTTCTTGGTATGGGTGCTGAAAATTATCCCTTCTTTTGGGTCATTTTCTGAAATGTGGTAGCTTCCACTCTTTAAAACAGGTTGCAGGTGGGGAGAGCTCACATTTTTCTGTTGATTTGGCTGCCTTCCTTCTGTGTGCCATCCTCAAGCGGCACTTCCAACACAAAAAAAAAAAAAAAAAGACAACGTAAACTAATCTCGCTGCAGAGTTAAAAACCTAGTGCTGTAACTCAGTTAAGATGCCAAAGTAAACTAAACATATCTCACTGTAGACGTAAAACCCGATGCTGTAACCCAGCTAAGACGTGGCTACAGAAGGAGATGCTGGTTCCTGTAATGTCCTTTTTTTGTGACCCAACAAAATATTCCAAGACTAAAGAGCCCTGAAGTAACGGCTAACCTTGTTATATAATTTTATAAAATTAATAATATTAGTAAAAAATGAATTTTTACAGTTGAAAATATTAATAAAGAATTCATTTTAAAAATTGTATATGGACATAATAATAGAAATTCTAAATGTGGTTTGGCAATTCATCTACAAGCCTTTAAGGTTTCTGTTTCTTGCCACATTCTTTACAAAATTACATTTTGCAAGTTTGCTTCATCTGGAACAGTTCTAATGGCAAAAACTGAATTTGTCAGAAACTTACATAAGTAATGAAAATGTGCGTGTTTATATAAAAATATTGTTAGTGCTGAGTTTTGTACCAGTGCATAATGTTATCAGAGTAGTTGAAGAATTAACTGAAAATTGCCCAGACTAGACCCCATTATTGATTACTGGGAAGATAGGACAAGTAAGATGCAACCACACTAACGATGCATGTATGAAATGTTCATGAGTTCATCATCAATGGTCTTCTGAGGACAAGTAATTCAGTAGAAAGATGGCATAGGGCATTCTAGTAGATTAGATTGAAATCAGCTTAGCACGCCTTGCTGCAGGTACTTGCAACACAGGTGCTAGCAAAACTAGGTATGAGCAACTAATTGGACACTTGGAAGCCATTCAGTTGCACATACATAGTGGGAAATTATGGAACATATGGACTTTCTTAGTATTTCACAAAACCTTGAAATGTAATTTTTGTAAAGAATGTGATAAGGAACAGAAACCTTAAAGGCTTGTAGAGAATTACCAAATAGCATTTAGAATTTTTATCAATATGTCCATACAAAATTTTTAAAATGTGTTATGGATATTTTCAACTGTCAAAATTAATTTTTACTAATATATTTTAATATAATTTTAGATAATTAGGCTCAGCTATTACTTCAGGGCTATTTTGTCATAGTTATGTTTGTTGGGGCTGTTTAGTCTTGGGCTATTTTGACTGGGTACCCCTTTTTTGGGGGGAGCTGAGTGAAGCTTTCTAGTCTACTCTCCTGGTGGACCCACAATACTCTTTCCAGCAAAGTTGTGGGCTATTTTGACTGGGTACCGCCTTTTTTTTTTTTTGACAGCTGAGCGAAGCATCTTATCCCGCTCATTTCTTCTGGTGGACCCACAATCCTCTTTCCAGTGTAAGGGATGTCCACCACTCATCAGTTCCTAGTCCAGAATATCTTCTAGTTATTTACTCCAGCAGTTTGCCCATTTCTGTGATTCCCCGTGCCAGTATCACAATGCCATCCATTTCTCATTCTCCCTCTCATTTCATTTTTACCATCTACTGAGATTAATTCTTCTGTTAGATAAGTAATTAATTAATATGCAAGAAGAGTTTTCTTTTCTTGTTGTTTGAAAGGTTATAATACAAAACCAGTGGTGTCCTGACCACAAAAAAATGTAAGATGACTGCAGAGGCCATTTGTATGATAGTGTTGTAAGCATACCAGTCTCTAAAAATTCAGAATGCAAACAAATTTTCTGAATTTATACCTTG